GCCAGGAATGGACAAGGAAATCGAAGCCTGGGTGGCATCATGCAGGCAATGCCAAGAATCCACGCCGAGCCCTCCCGCCGCCCCAATCCTGGAATGGGAAACCCCCAGAGGGCCATGGTCCAGGATTCACATAGACTTCGATGGGCCCACAAAGGGACACACGTTCCTGATAACGGTAGACGCTTACTCCAACTGGCTGGAGGTAAGCAATATGAGAACAACTACCACAGAGGCCGTTATCAAAGAACTCAACAAACTATTCTCAACCCACGGCCTCCCAGATGTAATTGTATCTGACAATGGGCCCCAATTTACTGCGCTACCATTCGAAAAATTCCTAGCGGAACGAGGAATACGGCATGCGCTGACAGCGCCAGCACATCCGGCGGCGAATGGGAGGGCGGAACGAATGGTACAATTTACCAAAAAAACAATCCAAAAAATTGAAACCGGGGAAATACAAGAAAAGATTAATAAAATGCTATTCATACAACACATAACCCCAAACACGACAACCAACAAAAGCCCCGCAGAACTATTAATGGGGAGGAAATTAAGGTCCCCGCTAGACAGGCTGCACCCCACGTACAACCCAGAGAACCCCCCCGACTCATCTAGCAAGCACCGAACATTCGCACCGGGCGACACCGTATACGCAAAGAACCTCACAGGGGACCCATTCTGGGTACCAGCAACAATAACCCAGGTAACAGGTCCCCGCTCGTACCGGCTACAAACAACCGACGGACGAGCATGGAAAAGACACATCGATCAGCTAAGATCGAGAACCAACACAGGAAATACAACCGACACGGAAACCATAGGGGGAAGGGGAAACCCAAACAGCAGCCAAGAAAGAGGGGGAAACCCCACAACGCAAAACAAACAAACCCAACAAGAAAGAAACCAGCAATACTCACCAGCGGAGCCACTGACAGACTACCAGCCCGAAGCCTCGCCTGGAAGGTACAGCCAAGCCAGTTCAACCAACCCGGAAAGACCGGGTGGGAACAACGAAGCCGGCAGCTCGACCAGCCCGGGGAGACCGGGAGGGAGCTATGGCGAAAGGCCCGACTCACCCTTCCAGGCGGTTCCATCGATGAGGCAGAGAACAACACAGACCCCAACCGAACCGGCCGGAGACCAGGAGACAACTAACCTGCGCAGGTCCAATAGACAAGTACGGAGCGCCGCCTACTTACGGGACTATGTTACGTAGGACCGAACCAAGAAGAGAGGGGTGTTCTGTATTTGCATTCTTGTAAACCTGTGTTCTGATTGGCTAAGACGCACAGCACTTGGATTGGTCGAGTGTACAGCACTGATTGGCCGTTACAAAGCACCCGCGATTGGCCGAGCAGAGCACGGGAGATTTGAACAGCTGTCATTGGCTGCAGCGCCATGTGCAAGACCAATATAAGCCGCCGCCGATCCAAGCCAGGCAAGCCGTTCTACCTTACAATAAAAAGAGCTTTAAAAGTCACTCGCCTCGCGTCTCTTCTTGGGACCGATCTACCAACACAACAGATATAGTGAAACATTTTAAGCATTATAGAAATACAATAGTACTATTTTTATAACTCTGAAAATCTTTAAAAGTGGGTGAGAAAATTATGGGAAAAACGGATCAGTCCAAGAATACAAAAACATGGCAATCTTATATAGTTATTTGGATGTGTTTTAAGAATGAACACATATAAGATCATTTACTAGATCAGTAGAAAATATGCCTTGTCTATTAGTCAAATTAAAATCATTATGTATGCATTCATATTTATCTGTCAAATCAATCCATCCATCCATCCAAAGGAATCAGTTAAATATAATATAGTGAACCATTTCAGCAATTCTATTATTATTAATAGAATTACTGCTATTATTGTATTAGTATTTATGGTTCATCACACAATCAGCCAGATGTTCAAACTGGATTTGGCATATTTGTCTACTTATTGATTTCTTCCCAAGGAATTGGAATAGAGACAGATGTGATTATATGATGGTGTTACAGGATTGCAGGATATAACCTGTTCCGAGTAAAACTGCCTTTTGACTGATGGTGAATTTCTCAATGCCAATGGTGTTCAAGTGGTGCTCCAGTAGTTTTGTGAAGTGCATATTACTATTTGTAATACCTTTACTTTCTTTTGCTACAGTCATTCTATTTCTAGCTGCAGGTTTTTGTATTGTTATCTTCTACAATTTTTTCTATTTTCTTTCATTATAATTATTGTTTTGTTTTGTTTTTTATTTTTGTTTTATACAAAATTTTATTGATTAAACATTAAAAACACTGAACACAGTACGACTTTCCTGGCAATTATTTTGCCATACATACTACAACATAGAACCACGTACAACAGTTGATCTTCTACTTATCTTACATTACTAAGTTGGTGCTAATAACACATTAACATCTTCATTTCTATTTATATTCATATTTACAGCACGACTTCCTTTCACATTCTTTTTATATAACTATTTTATGCATTATATTTCATCAACTTTAGTCTAAATGTCTTCCACCTTCAATCCTATATACAATCAAAATTTTTGTTCTGACCTCTTTTCCTTGATTCCAACCATTTATACATTTTGTTCCAGACTTCATAGTATTCTGTCTCACCCTTATCTTTAATTTTAATGTTAGTCAGTCTGTCCATGTCTGCACAGACCAATATTTTTTATTTTTTTTATTTTTTATTATTTCACTTTTGGCAGGGGTATTTCCATCCTTCCAATTTTGGGCATAAACAAATCTTGCAGCAGTTATAACATGTAACATTAAAAATATTGTTGCTTTACTACAGTATATTTTTCTTCTACAATTCCCAATAGGAACGCTTCTGAACTTCTGAACTTTATTTTTTGGCCAAGCATCTCTGCCAACCATTCCTTTATCTGCCACCAATTTTTTGTGCTTTTGTACATGACCACCACATGTGATAGTATATTCCTATCATTTTGTTGCATTTCCAACATTGCGGTGATACATTTTTACTCATTTTTGCCAATCTTATTGGAGGAAGGTGCCACTTATAGAACATTTTGTATAGGTTCTCTTTGTATGAAGTGGCCAGGGTTAGTTTTCTATTTCTTTCCCATTGTTTGCCATTTGTCCAATTCAATGTTGTAACCAAATTTTTTGGCCCGTATTACCATTACTTCTTTCACTTGTTCCTCCTCCATTTTATATTCCAATACGTATTTATCTTGATTGCTTTTTCATCTGTTCCTAGTAATATTTTATCTAATGTTGTCAATTCTCTCTATACACCCCGTTCATTTTTGTCCTTCTTGTAGTGTGATTGGATTTGTAAGTATGCCCACCATTCCAATTGTACCCCTTCTTCTTTTAATTCTTGTCTGGATTTTAGTTTCCCTTTTTCATTTAGTATATCTTTATATGTAATAACTTTCCCCAAATTAATGAAGTTTGGGTGCACTAACATTTCTAATGTGGAGAGCCATGCCGGTGTTTCTATATAATTCTGTTGTTTGATTTTTATCCATACCCTAAGCAGAGCTTGTTTTATATGATACCTTTGGAAGTACTGGTAAGCTTTGTATCTTTCATACCACAAAAATGCGTGCCACCCTAATTGTAAATCATGACCTTCCAATATTAATAACCTCCTATTTTTTAGTTTTAGCCACTCTCGCACCCAAGTAAGTGTACCAGCTTGGTAATACAGCTCACAGTCGGGCAGGTCAAACCCCACTCTTTCTTTGGCTTCTTGCAATAATTTAAAGTTTTGGTTTCCTCCCTTGCCAAATAAATTTCAATATTATCTTATTCAAATTTTCAAAATATTTTTCTCTAATTTTACAGGGATATTATGGAAAAGAAAGTATTTTTGGTAAGATGTTCATTTTTATTGCTGCAATTCTCCCCATAAAGGAAAGTTGCAAGTTTTTCCTTCTCTCTAAATCTATCTTTATTTGTTTATTTAAATTGATATAGTTGTCCTCCTTAATTGTTGTGCATTTTGCTGTTAGCTGTATTCCCAAATATTTCACTTTCTTCACTATTTGAATGTTTATTTTCTCAACCAAATCCTTTTTCTGTATGTTTGACATATTTTTAACTATCATTTTGGTTTTGTCCTTATTTATTTTTAATCCAGCTACTTCCCCATATTCTTCCAGTACTTCCATAAGCCTTGCACCCAATTGTAATGGCTTGCAGTTTATAGATTTTCTTCTTGATGTTTAATCTGGTTATCTTTTTGAATCATTCTTGTCAGTACCTCTAGAGCAGGGGTAGGATTCTACAGATTCACACCTATTCGCTAGAACTGGTTGTTAACATTCTAAGCAGTTTGGAGAACCGGTTGTTAGAAGAAATTACTGGCCTAATTCTGTAAGGAAGGCAGGAAGGAAACATTCTGGTGTTGCTTAGAGAAACTGCCTCTCCATTAACTCTTATTACATTCTTGGCAGGACTAGACTTCCTGTTTCTGGAACTTCTCTGGAGTTTTTTTCCCTCCTTTGCTGGTACTTTGCTTGTGTGGAGTGACCATTCAAAGTTACAATGGCACTGAAAAAAGTGACTTATGACCGTTTTTCACACTTACGACTGTTGCAGCATCCCCACAGTCATGAGAGGCCAGATGAGGAAATGCGTCCCTCGATGTGAGTGATGTTGAGTTGGCCATGCCCAGCCAGTCACATGACCACCAAGCCATACCCACCAACTAAGCCACGCCCACAGAACCGGTTGTTAAAAAATTTGAATCCCACCCCTGCTCTAGAGTTAATATAAACAGTAGTGGTGATAATGGACACCCTTTTCTTGTACCTTTCTTGATTTGGAAGCTTTGTGTCATTTCTACATTAACTATGACTCCAGCCTCTTGTTTAGCATAAATTATTATTTTGCTTTTGTTGTGCATTAGTTTGATATTTTGTTCCTCACCCAGTGTTGCAACTGTGAGATAGGTAGCTATATATCAATATGAGAAAAATAAATAAAAAATATGCATAGATAATTTACTTACATTTAGTGCTACTGATATCTCTTCTGTAGCTTCTTGAATATTTTCTGTTGCCTTGATTTTTGATTCCAGCTCATTCAACCATTTGCTTTCAATATCCAAATACAACAGAAGCTCATGCCAACATGCCCATACCTCCTGATAAATTAGTTTACAAAAAATAAACAATTAAAACTGTTTTTTAAAAACAACCTAAAAGATATTTTAGTGTTCCAAACAGTGAAAAGTCATGAATCTACCATTTGCACTAGTTTACCTGGACAAATAATGTTACAAAATCTCTTCTATGACAAAAAAAGAAAATAACATTGACTGTCAATTAACAAATTCTCATAATTAAATATTTGCAAGAGTTTTAAAAAGAGAGTTCTTTTACATCTAACCCATTCTTTTCTATAGAGGTTTTTGGCAGACTTGCTTATAGGCAGTCATTGCTTAATTACTCTAATTGGAACCAGCAATGCTACTCATGGATGATTAATAACTGATAAATATATAAGCATATATTAGTTTGACAATGTCAAAATTGATATAAACTGGGAGTAATGACTACAAAAGGATAGCACAAAAGATTTGTAACCAACTGACACACTGTAGGTATATAAAATAGAAGATGGTTTTATGTTTTTATGTTTTGTTTGTATATGTTTGTTGTAAAAAATAAAAACATTTTATAAAAAAATAATAATTGGAACCAGCAATGCTAAGTGAAGTGGTCATTAAGTGGAAACATTACTACAATTATACTTTTGGCTGGAAAGAAACCTGATTTCACACCTTTCGTTTTTGTTCGCTTCCTAACCAATCTTCTGCCCATTGGAATCCTTGAATGGATGATTACTGTCTTGTATACAATGAAAAAAGTACAATTGACCATAAATCTAATGCTATGAGCCATGAACACTATGCAAACAACTTACAATATTCTTTTGAATGCCCCTCCTCTCCAAACTTCCCTCTGCAGTGAGGGAGGAGAAAAGCAAACAAATTGGACTCCCATCTGTCAGAAATGGTGTAGGGTCTACTGCTTGGACAGTGGGTTGGACTACATGAACTACAAGGTCCCTTCCAACTCTGATTATCTATCTGTTTATCTGTTAAATTCTGTTGGCAACCTCTCCTTTTACATGACCCTTTCCTACTGCTGGCTTTTTGCTAAGCAGTATCAATACTCTTCTTGAAAAGAAATACCAATGATAAATGCATGGGAGGTTAAAATACATTTACAGATATTCCTCAACTTATTACCATTAATTTACAAAATTTTGAAGTTACAATGGCACTGAAAAAAGTGACTAACAACCAGTCTTCACACTTACAACAGTCATAGCAACTCTATGACCATGATTTGGCCCAGGGGTGGGATTCTACCAGTTCAGACAGGTTCTATAGAACTAGTTGTTATGATTCTATGCAGTTCGGAGAACCAGCAAATTGTGCCTCTGGCTGGCCCTGCCCCTCCCCTCCCCATCCAGTCAGTCCTTATCGTGCATGTGCAACATCACGCACATGCCCAACATCACTGAATGCATTCTCCCCTGTCCAGTAACTCCTCAAAGTATTTCCTTTCCCCCCCTCCAGACTATCAGCTGTTCTGATGATCAGCTGTGCCAGGATCCCCCTCACTGTCTTACTGTTTCGCCCAGGAGGCTTCCCTGAGGCCCAGGAGGCAAAAAATGCAAAAAAGAAAGAAAGCTACACCTACCCAGTCACACGGCCATGCCCATCTAGCCATGCCCACAAAACTGGTTGTTAAAAATTTTTGAATCCCACCCCTGATTTGGGCACTTGGTAACCATTGGGCATTTATGACAAAGGCAGGGAATATATATGAGTTGGACCTAACCACTCACCATCTTACTTCATATATATACATATACCTCTTTGCCAGGGGTGGGATTCAATCGGTGTTACTACCGGTTCTGCTGTGCACGCGTGCAATAAACCTTAAACTGTGCAGGCAGCACAGGACAGCTGATAAGCGCTGCGTGCAGTGCTCAGCATTTGAAAAGCCACTATTTTACTGCTTTTTCAACCTCAGCTGTGCTGTGCAAAGCAGCTGAGGTTGAAAAAGCAGGAAATATAGGACAGGTAAGAGCCCGGGCAGGCAGGTGGGCCAAACAGCAGCAGTCACAGAATCGGTTTGGTCTCTGCTGCTCCTCAGAGCTACTGGTTCTATAGAGCCGGGCAGAACCAGTAGCATCCCACCCTTGCTCTTTGTAGTTTAATATTTTCCAAAAAAGAAGCTCAGATCAAACTCCGAAAGTTTTATTAGCTCCATATTAATTTTCTCAAATTAACAAAGAGTAGGATATTGTCAGAGGAAGAAAAAACCTAGAAACATTCTTATTTTAGTTTTAAGAAAGAACCAACCTCCAGTGTTTTGCATTTCCCATTTATCCTGCTGCACAGTCGCTGGTAATTCTTAGTTAAAACGTCAAGTTCTTTTTTTAAACCCTCATGAGCTGCAGGTGGAGCTATTGCTATAAAATTGTTCACAGAATCAGTGAGAAGTTTTACTTTCATCTCTTTCTGTTGGGCCTCTTCTTTTGCTCTCTGCAAACACAGAAATGTAGAATAAATATTATGCCAATAAAATATTATACAAATAAAAAGGCAACAGCTAGGATTTAAAAGAAATGCAGTCTACTCTCCTGAATTTGCATGACATTACTTGTGTTAAGAACGTGAATAATAATATAGAAATTTTCATTTAATCAATAGCAAAAACATGAAAATCAATAAAGCATGAAGCATTTTTTTTTGTATAAACTTTTTTCTACTTATGGGGGTCTCCAAATCTTCCTGCCTTAGACGTAAAAAGTTCCAGTTGGTATTTTGTTGCTATATGAGAGAAGTGAGCAGTTATACAGAATTACATTGGCAATGATTGGTTGAAAATGATGACTTTGTTTAATATTAATAGTAATAATATGGCTAAAGAAAGTAAAAATAGTATCAATAGTAATAGGCACCTTGGATGTAATTCCAAAACATACAGAGCAGCACTTGAAGATTATCAATATTGACAAAATCACCTTTCAGTCAATTGCAAAAGGCAGTTTTTCATGGCACAGCTTACTTCCTGTGATGATATTTTTAATGCTATTAAACAGCTAAATCTTGGGAAAGAATCGAAAGGTGAATCAAAATGTGAAATCCGGTCTAAACATCTGGCTGACCATGCAGCCAACCATAATACAGTTTAATATAATCCAAAATAATTTCAGAGGAGAGGCTTTTCAAAACTATTCAAATATGAAATCACAAAACTATTTTTAAGTTTAAACCCAAACTAAAATTATTAAATCAGGAGGAATATGCAAAAAAATTAAAATCAATTAGGCAAAAATTTTTTGAACAAGCAAACAAGCCCGGAAGATGGCTGGCTTACAAATTAAAGAAGGAAAGGAAAAAGAAATCAATACAAATATTGTAAGATGACAAGGGGAATCCCCAAAACCAAATTGGGGGGGGGGAGGGGGAGATTATACAAAATTACTATGAAACCTATACAGTAAGAATAAAATAAGGGAGGAGATAGAACAGTATCTAAAAGAAAAAAAATTGCCATTAATTTCAAAAGAGAATAGAGAATTATTAAACAAAGAAATAACACAGACAGAAATAAAAAGAGACATTGATAAACAGAAAAATAATAAGACACCAGGACCAGATGGGATCCCAGGGGATTTTTTATAAGATCATGTATGAAACTATGGAACCGTTGATGCTACAGGTATATAACAAAGCATTATTAAAAACAAAATTACCAAAATCGTGGGCAGAATTGTATATAACTTTAATACTGAAAGAAGGTACTGATCATTTTCAAATTCAAAATTATAGGCCAATTTCTCTGCTAGATGCTGATTATAAAATATTGATGACAATAATGGCAGATAGAATGAAAATAATTTTGAATAAAATAATACATGTAGATCAAAACAGCTTTCTTCCTAAAAGACAAATTAAAAATAATATTAGGATAGTAATGGATGTACTGGAATATTACGAAGTGCATCCAGAGAAATAAGCAGCACTGATTTTTCTGCATACACAGAAAACCTTTGACAATCTAAATTGGGAATTTTTCTTAGGCAAATAACAGAGATGAAATATGGACCAGAATTCGAAAAGAGGGTAGCAGAAATGTATTCTAGCCAGAAAGCAAGCGTAATGGTTAAGGGTAATTTTACCGAAAGATTCAATATAGCGAAAGGAATGAGACAGGGATGTCCAATGTCACCTCTGATCTTTATTCTCGCAATAGAAATCTTCTTAACACAAATTAGGAAGAATGAGGGAATCACAGGAACTAAAATAAAGAAGGAAGAATACAAAATACAAGTGTTTGCGGATGAGATGGTATTCTTCATAGAAAATCCAAATGAGATTGGGAAAATCCTATTAAAAGAAATAGAAGTATATGGCACGGTAGCAGGACTCAAGATTAACAAAAATAAAACTAAAACCTGACAGAAAATCAAAAGAGAGAATTAGAAAAGGAAATAGAACTTCAAATTGCGAATAAGATTAAATATTTAGGTAGTTGGTTGACATCAAGATGCCTGTCATTAAAAGAGGATAATTATGATAAATTAATGAGTCAAACAAAAGAAGATTGATAAATATGGGTTAAATTACAGCTATCCCTAGTAGGAAAAATTGCAGCAATAAAAATGAACCTGTTACCAAGGTGTTTATACCTATTTCAGATGGTTCCTATAAAATTTAATACAATTTGGGGGGGGGGGGGGGGAATTGAATAGGGTGGTGACTAAATTTATATGGGAGGGGAAAAACCCCTGCATAAAGTAAACATTAATTCAAGAGAATAGATACAGAGATGGCTTTGGACTTCCGGATTGGGAATTATACCAATGTGCAGCACTAATTTCGATCAAAGAATGGATCATCCTAAGCAATGAGGCTATTAACTCTTGAAGGACATGATCTACAAATTAGCTGGCATGCTGTTATGTGGAATAAGATAAATTCACACTTCCTAAATCATCGAATTAGAGAGGAGTAATAGAGATTTAGAGTAAAATTATGGTTCAGTGGTCCCAAAATTTTATAGAGTTGTATGCAAAAATGAGTCCAGCAAACACATATTCATTCATCCAATAAACCCCATTGCAAAAACCAATCCCAACCACAAAAAACTTCACTCAAGACCAGACTTATCCATACTGCAAAGAATCCGCTCCCATGAACTCCACAATGAACTCAAAAGACATCTAGACAATGGAGAGAAGGATCTGTCCATTGACTACTGCGCTGATTGTATCAAAAGTAAGTCGCACAACCCACAACTCCACATCCAACCCTACCTCATCCAACCCACCATCACCCAAGACTAGGCACACATGCCCCTAACTACCTCAATTCAATCTACAACTGGCCTTAAACGCAAGCTACTCAATGCAAGAAGCCTTGTAAATAAAATACCTGAATTTCTCCTCTTACTAAATACGGCTAAATTTGACATTATATTTGTCTGTGAAACATGGCTCGACGCATCTCTCCCTGACTCCATTATCACAGTAAGAGACTATCATGTTTACCGATCAGATCGTGAAATCCGTAGAGGAGGTGGTGTTGCTATCTTCTATAAAAAGTCCTTACATCTAAAAAACATCCAAGTTACCCAGGAGCTTGCTCTTCCTGAGACCATTGTCTGTGAACTGTCCTTAAATATCACATTTCTATTCTTACTATGTTACAGAGCCCCTGATCATGACATCAAACATGTAAACAAGCTAAATTCACTACTAACATGGGCAACATCCTGCCCACACGCGTTTATCTTTCTTGGTGACTTCAATCTACCTCATATTAACTGGACCCTAAATGAATGTAAAACTGAACCCATACATGCAACCTTCTACAATGCTGTAACAAATCTGGGAATGGAACAACTAGTAACCCAACAATACGAGACTTAACAACTGCCTTGATCTCATCTTCTGCAATAGTTTGAATTCAATTTATGGAATACAAATTAAAGAACCCTTTTCCAACAGTCACACAACATGATTAACTTTTGTCTCAACATACGAACACACAAAAATCATCACAGTGATGCAATCCCCAATTATAACTTCAAAAAAGGCAACTATGGGGGGGCGGAGCTGACGTCACGACGATACTGCATGCAATCAAAGAATGGATCATCCTAAGCAATGAGGCTATTAACTCTTGAAGGACATGATCTACAAATTGGCTGGCATGCTGTTATGTGGAATAAGATAAATTCACACTTCCTAAATCATCGAATTAGAGAGGAGTCATAGAGATCAGAGATTGCAGCCGATATCTTTGCCTCTGGACAGTCCCAACGGACCTAAACCGTCCCGAAGAGATGGTGAAAGGGAAGAGCACATCCTGCCGATCCCAGGGACACCGCAAAGTCCCTGGTTGATCCAGGAGAAGCCCTTCTTGCCGGCGGCAGAGAGGCAGCCATCAAAGCTGCTGAAGTTTGGACAGCTCCGATTGGAAGAGACTGGAAAGAGAAAGTGTGTCGGTTTGGTGAGAACTTTTTTTTATTATTATTACTCTAAGACTTAAAGGGACACCCTAAGGAAAAGGAAAAATCTGTAAAAGTTTTGACAGAACGGAATAAGCGGCGGTTTTTAAATGGAAACGTCAAAGTAAGGCTTGGCTTTTTATTTTTATTTTTCTTATTACTGGACTTCTTTTTTTTTTTGGAAACAAATTTTATTAATTTTAAAGACAAACAAACCATCATTAACCATTGAATACATAAAACCTCTTTCCATTATAAATTTTACAAGTCGAATAAAACATTATTTTATATAGCATAATTCTGTTTTACACCATTTCCATATGAACATATAAATATCTCTTAACAAATTTCTCATTATTTCTCTTAACTCTTATTCAATTTCATTATTATTATTATTTTTCCCTATATTTATCCAATTTATAATTATCATCTTCATTTCTCTCTGATTTGATTACCGTTATTCTCATCCAACAGTCCTCCAAGGTTTTATTAATTCTCACACAGACACAAACACACAAAACACAAAAACGTAAAACTTCTTTTTAGAAAGTAACTTGGTCCCAGATTACCTCTCTCTCTATGGACTTCAATTAAATTCGTGCTCATCTTATATACCATTACCCATCTTATTTACCATTCTATATCTTCTATATAGCTTCTCCCCGCTTTTCACTCTTCTTAATTCTATTTTATTTGATTCATTTTAATTTAAATCATTATGCTTGTATCTTTTATCCATTCTTTCCAAATTATCCATTTATCTCATTCCCTATAGTAAAAAAAAAAGGATTTCTCCTGAAATCACTAATCAGAATATGATGCCTTTCTATCGTCCCCCTAAGTTAACATTTAAAATAACACCTAGTACCCAATCTGATTCTGCTTAGTACATTCTACCTACTAACTTTTAAAAAGAAGAAAAAATAATAAATCCAAAGTGATTAAATACATAATTAGATAATAAATCTAAATATTAAATCTTATAACACTCCAATTATCTATTTCAAAGACAAATGCTACAGTA